CACGATAATGGCCCGAAACACCCGTCTAAAAAGAGTAAAAACTTGGTTTTATGTTAATAAAGTGGAAACTCTCGCTTGATCCAGTCATTCTCTTGATCTGAATCGAATCGAAAACTCGTGGAGTGAATTGAAAAAGCAAATGGTAAAGAAAAAATGTGATAACAAACGCCAGTTATAGGATTGCATCCAAGAAACTTGGAGAGAGATTCCGATTGGGACCTGCCAAACTTGAATTAGGAGTATGTCCAAGCGGATAGAAATATTTATTAAAAATCAAAAAGGATATATAGGATATTAATCCAACAATATAATAGCAAAAGATTTTTAATGATTTGAAGATCAAAAATTTAAATACAACTTTTCAAAGTAAAGTGTACCTATTATTTCAGTCAAGCACAAAAGCTGCACTTTTGATTTTTTGTTTGTAACTTTTGAAAAAATAAATTTTTTTTTTCCAAATTTACTTATTTTCTTTTATATATACCTAAAACAGAAACGTGCATTAAAATTTTAATGTTTGGGTCAGTAGAAAAAATGTTTTGCTAAACTAAACTCAATTTTAAGAAGTGTACCTATTATTTTCATCATGAGTGTATATATTTATATATTATACAATAATATTCAGTTGTATCTAGATTTGACTCGCTGTTATACATATATCCATCTATATAAATATATGTATGTCTGTGTTTGTTAAAAAGAAAAACAATCGGGACAAAGCGAGGCATTGTGAAAATCTGTGTATATTTGGAATTTCGTCGTATTGCTGTTATATTAAAATTTAAAGATTTTTTTGCTGCATCATTCACATGCATATTTACAGTAGTCTCATATACATATATAATAATAATCTAACTTTATACTAACTATTCCATTTTTCTCGCATTCCTCTTGCAGTTGGTTAGACCTGTTCCCACATCTATGGAGTTTCATCTAGACAGTGCAGAATACTGCCAGGCACAGCACAAATAAAAAGTAAGTCTAGGGCAGGCATACATATATATATACATATAAATATATATATGTGTATTCCGTCAAAGGTCATGAGTGTTGCTGAACTTTTAAATGTCGAAATGGCGAAATTCCCGAATTGCGTTTAATTTGCTCCCCTCGAATTCTCCCTTGCAATTTTTGAACAATTAAAGCGAACTGAACGAAACTCAAGAGAGCCAACTAGAAATTTGGGTATTAATCAAGCTAATTGAACAATCAATTTAAAATAGACGCAACAATTGCTCTCAATTTAAGAATTAATCGAAATGGTCCCTGAAAATTTGTCTAGAGACAAACTTCTATTTCTCAAAGACTTCTCGATTTGGTCACTTAATATTGGTTATAAATTTTAGGCATATGAAATATGAATTCTCGTGTTTTTTATATTTTCTTATACTTGGATAGTATATTCTATGCCAGGTACAGTTTTAATGGGATTTTTCACAATTGTTCATTATTGACAACTTTTATTGAAAAGTTCAGCAGTTCAATTAGTTCAACAGTTCACAAACGATAATGTACTTACTAGAAATCTTAATCTTAATCTTAATCTTAATCTCAAAACAGCTGAATTGCTGAATAGAACTAGTAGTTCATGAACACCTCAAAAGAACATAGCTTGTATGTTATAATTTAGGTGCAAAACAGAAACAATCAAGACTCCATTATACTCCAATGACTATTGGGAATATTCAAGTCGCGCACTCTCTACTTTTTGATTACTATCGATTATTGACCAATACTTTGTTTGAATTTCAGGTAATCAAAAAGCAAAGAAGGCCGCGATAGCCTGAGACAACGCGCTGTCATCCTCTGCCCGGAAGTCAACGGACGCCAAAACTGATTCGAAGCGTGGAGCGAGCAGAGTTCAAGACAGAAAGACACTGTTCAACAGAGAGGGAGAGACAGACAGACAGAGAGAGAGAGAGAGAGAGAGAGGGAGTTGAATTAGGAGCAGTCCCGAGCGAAAGTTTTTACGTCTGGGTGAACTGAGTTCATATCACAAAGAAATCACATTTAACCGTAGGGTGCCACAACGAAAAGTGTTTGGAAACAACAATTGTAACCATTGAAGAGGAGCAGCAACTGCGCCTGAAATAAATTTAATTCGATAGATTCGCCGATAGATTCGATATAGCGAAATTCACAGGGATTTTTACTAAACGGGGTTGAGGCACAGCAAAAAATACTTATATATTTTTTGTGATAAACGTTTTGAGGGTATCCAAAATTTGTACTTAATTATTGAACTATTCATTTATACTTAAACAATTTGGTTTGGTGTATAAATCTAAAGCCTGCTAAAGAAAAAACAACAAAAGAAAAAGAAATCTTATATTTATATATATTTTTACAAAACAAAAATTTCTAAAATTACGCTGAATTTTTTTCGATCTAAAAAAAAATCGCGTAACTTCCCAAAGTCAAATCAAACAAGGAAAATAAACACACACACAAACACATATTTATATTTAGCCCAGACAATTTTGAAACAATTAACACAAATACACATAACACGTAATATTAGCTTAGTTTGAAAAACAAGGATTAGGTTCGATTAACATATTGTAAGCGGGGAGTAAACCCACTCTGTAATCAATTCAACTGATTTGTAAAGTTATTATAAGTTAAGCCACAAAATGCGTCAAAAAGATCTGCGCCCAGCACCAGCTCTTATTGAGTATAAGGGCATGAAGTTCCTAATCACCGATCGACCATCAGACATAACAATTAATCACTATATAATGGTGAGTATCGAAGTCACAGATATCGTCACAGATTTCGTCATCATTCATTGTTGTTCTGGTGCTTTGCAGGAGCTTAAGAAGAACCATGTTAACACGGTGGTGCGTGTGTGCGAGCCCAGCTACAATACGGACGAGCTGGAGGCCCAGGGTATTACTGTTAAGGATCTAGCCTTTGACGATGGCACCTTTCCGCCCCAGCAGGTCGTCGACGAGTGGTTTGAGGTGTTGAAGGACAAGTAAGTCTGAGCTAAGTGCCATACCCTACGATACGATTTCTATATCACTTCTTCAATAAGCTGAAGTCATAATATTTATACTTAATATTTTGTTTTCTCTCAATGACGACCAAAAATTTGAGCTATCAGAATTAAATTGAACTGAAACTGTTTAGATGATATAGAAATTTGTAAATTCAGTCTTCACTTATAGGAGTAAAAAGCTTTAACTATATTAAGTGTTTAGTAATATTAGTAAGTATTTATCAGCTTTCCAAAATGTTGTATTAAGATTTTTTTTATTTACCGCCGAGTCCCGCTAATTCAAAATGGCAAGGGGATCAGGATTTTTTTTTTCGATTTATAGACTCCACTATTTATAATATATATGGAAAACTTGTCTAAAAATTCTTTGTAAAATTAATGTACAAGAAAATTAAGATTTAGAAATCCGAATTTGAATTAAATTTGCTGAACTAGTTCACTTTTATGGCCCCCCTACTAGTTCAGCTAGTTTTGCAGATCATGAAGAATAGATAAAGTTCAGATAATTATGATAAATTTGTATTTGTATTTGTTGGCCCATAGACCGTATGATTCATGAGCAGGTGAACAGTGTTGAAAAGAACGGAGTTTTTAAGGACCGCTGAACTACAGATCACAGAGTGTAGCTGTACTGAATCAGTGCAGCTAACAGTTTGCTGAACTAGTTCTTTGCTTAAGGGAATTTTACAACGATGTCTATATCATCTAAGCAATTACGTTTGATTACTCTTCAAATCCAGTCGAATATGATTTTATATAAATTCCGTAGTTTAGGCTCATTTGCAAAAACAAAAACAAAAAGCGATACCAAAGTTGATTTTTATCAATTTATTCAGTATTATTTGTTGCTTTATACACCGACAATGAGATGAACATTCAAACGAATTCCAAAAACAAATCATCGACTAACCTGCTGCTAACAACATTTCAAAGAGCTGCGCTTCAAACCTCCCATCAAACAATATATATATAAAACATAAACATCGATTATATATTTGCACCATATCCCGTAGCCCTCGCTTAGGCCTTGCTGTTTTGTCGCTCTATATACCAGATCACACTTCATTCACCATAGATATATTTGATTTGCTGTATAAATTTAGATATTTTTTGTAACATATCCATATCCATATCACTACTTTTTCGTTAAGTTTTCCCTAGAGGCCTTTGTAAATTTGATTTAACCTCACAGTAGATATCCATAAATACTTAACTATAAACTATTTAATTTCGGTTTCGAAAGTCTTACCTACTTCCTCCATGCATATATGTATATATTATATATATATATTTATATATTGATTTTTAAATATATATGTGTATATGTATATGTATATGTGTGTACTCCGTTTCGTTTCTTGGTTTTGTGTGCTATTATCCGCTGGCTAGTTTTAGAAAGTCCACAAGCGCCACACTATCCTACTACAGACATAAGCGTTTCTCGCTTAGACACATACCAAAATCAGCTCCAATGGCAGCTCGAGCCAGCCTCTCGGCAGCGGCGTCGGCGGCAACGGCAGCAGCAGTAGCAGCAGCAGCGACAGCATCAAATACTACAGCTTCAGACACAGATACAGATACAATGCCCCTGACAGCAAATGAAACAGATACAAGATACAATAATACTGCATTCGTTGATAATGAGACTTGTCGGTAAGCGTTGCCTTGTAATTATTAAAGCGAGCCTTTAGCATCACACTGAATGAACAATGACTAAACTTTAATTTACTCTGCGCTCAATAAATACATACATAGATATATTCATCTATTTGTCTCTTGTCTCATCTCCAGATATCAGCAGAACCCCGAGGCGTGCGTTGCAGTTCATTGCGTAGCTGGTCTGGGACGTGCCCCCGTTTTGGTTGCGCTTGCACTCATCGAACTGGGCTTGAAATATGAAGCAGCTGTTGAAATGATTAGAGAGTGAGTCATACATAATTTGAAATCTCCGATGAAATCGATTATTAATATTTCTTGTGTTCTCTTCCTTTTTTTTTTTAGTAAGCGACGCGGCGCTATCAATGCCAAGCAGCTCTCATTTTTGGAGAAGTACAAGCCGAAGGCGCGTCTAAAGCACAAAAATGGCCACAAAAATTCATGTTCTGTGCAATAGATTTCCAAAACCATATGTATATTCCCACCAGATAAAAAGTGTTCATTTTTTCAAAACAAAAAAAGGAAAACAACAAAACCAAAACAAACGCTATAAATTCTAAAACTGTATAATTGCTAAAAACACAAAAGAAAAACGAAAAATTACGATTGAAGAGACAGATTGAAAAAAACAGCCCAATAATCTATAGACAAGTCGATCAGAGCCCAGTTATATTTATATATTGAAATTCGCATGAATTGGCAACAACAATTGTATTTATTGTATGTATTAATTAATGTAATTTATTTAATTTTATATTTCGCCAAACAAACGCAATTCTAATTTTATTTCACGCCCCCCCTCGAAATGTCCATGAAATGGTTGTGGCCGGGCATCGTAGTAAAAAGATAAACATCTATAGCATCTGTAATAGTAGCGATTACGTACCTATCCAAATATCCAAATCCGATTCCAAATCCACTTCCCAGTCCAAATTCAAATTAATGTCAAGGGTCAGGCACCATAGGCAATAATATGACTAAATATATATTTTACTGCAATATAGCCAAAAGCAAAGAAATAAATAACGATACAAATAAATGAAACACGTGTAGAAAGCTATACATATAAATATATATGTATGTAGATATGGATATATATATAGATATATGGAGGAACGATATCTGCTTTAAACTGAACGCTGCATTTGATGTAAACGATCCGCAAATGATGTACTTAATCGCATGTTTAGTTTAGGCAGCGCCCAGACGTTGATTCATTTCATAGTGAGAAATATATTCTAAATAACAATACAAATGAAACGAAAAGAAAAACGTGAATCTAAAGAAGAGATAGACTAGTTACATAACTATTAAGGCGAACCAGCTTGAACCGTAAACGAATTAACGTACTCTGCAAACAAATTTGATTTCGATGTGCTTAGTGGAATGGTATTATGGTCGGATCCTATGCGTTTTCCCTATTCTCTCTGTAACATACGAAACTCCGCTGGATAACAACTATTTATATATATTACTAAATCATACAGCAATAAACAATTAATTATCAAGTACATACAAATTTTACATTAATGACTACATACATTTAAACGCTATATGCAGCAGTTGCAATACACATAAATACAACAAATACACAGCAAAACAACAAATATTTATAAATATATATATATAAATCTATAAAATATAATGAAAATAAAAACAGACCCTTTAAGCAAAAACAAAAAACAAAAAAAAATTGAGAAAATGAACATGAATGAAAATGAAACAAACCTTACAAGAAATTTAACAAATTATAGTCAGGATAAAGCAGAAATTATAAAATTATATGCTTACAATTAATTTATCCAATATTGAATTGTAATTTTTTAAAATGTTAGTCATTACAATGAAATAAAAACGATATATGAAAATTAAACATTTTGTATGAAATGGAAAATCTATTTTCAATCGATTTTGGGAACTTGAAGTACCTGGAAGATGAAAGATTTTTATGTTAAATACTTATCGTATATGATTCGATATACTATTCGAGCCTCTGCTATGATGATTGACTCTCTCTGCGATTCTCAAAAAGTTGCCTAGTGAATGGCTAACTGGTCTTAAAAGTTGTATTAGGTCTAACCGAAGTTCTGCGAGTATTTAACTTGTATTTTGAATAGAGACGAAAAGTTCATAAAGCATTGGCATTATTCCCTTCAACAAAAATCTTGTTTTTTTTAAATCTTTTACAGAGTCTAGCATGAAAATAATTCTAGCTAAATAAAATAGTTTCAAGTCTATGTCGAAATTCGGCCCATAAATAAAAGTGAAAGTCGGTTATTATTTAACGATGTTCTCTTTATTTTTGCATACGTAAATAAATATATATTGATAATAGTTACAACTAATAAATTTTACATTTTCTTGTTTTAGATTTTTTCAATTTTTAGCGGGCACACATTCGTTTTGCTTTGATGCCGGTTTTTATTTTTAATTTTTTTGTTTTGTTTTTCTTATTACAAACTGTATGTAAACCTAAATTTTCAAAGCGTGAACAATTTCGTCAATATATGTATTTATGTTGCTCTTGATTTTAATACAATAATTTCATCAGTGATATATGTTTTGTTTTGCCCAAATCAAAGTATAAATAAGTAAAGCAAAATAGTATATCAAATTTGTTTTTTTTTTCTTGTTTTCTTTGTTGTTCTTTCCTCTTTTTTGTCATTTTGTGATAGAAGGGCCCTTAACACAGCGAAAGCTGTTGGCTAACAGTGATCTAGTAACATGTGTTGCGAACTATGCTATGCCAGCCAACAGCACTGCCGATTAACAGCCAGATGTAGTTGAGAATAAAAACTAAAATAGTATGCAAAAGAGTAAATATTTATTGGGGTTTGTTCAGTGCACTCCGTTTAGAAGCTATGCCTTGATAAAGCTAATCGCATAGCCAAACGAGCGCCGCGTTTTGTGTGTGTGTATAAAGACTAGAAACAAATTTTTTTTGGGATATTCTCATTTTTTTTATGGCTGCGCACAAAGCACCAAAAACAGAAGCGTTTTAGAATAATGCAGGCAGTTAAAAAAAGATATATAGTGTTTAATTTCTTGTTTGTGATATACGTAAGTCGGCTAGAGTGGAAAGCAAAAACGTAAACTATATATATACATGTGTAAAAAAATATATATACCTTTTTGCAAGTCCACTTTCAGTTAATTATATCTTATATACATACATAATTCTTTTCGCACACTCTTCAGTTTATACAGCGAATTATTATCGAGCGAGAAACCCAAATAAAAATAAAATTAAAAATAATATAGTATATTCGTAAGCTACGTTGCGTACCCTTTACGTAAACACATACATGAAAATAAATACAAAATTGGCAAAAATCATATATAAGTTTATATCGTTAAGTGTGTTGAGTAAATAAAAAGCTGCTTTGGAACTGTATATTTCTTTTTCTAGCACTGTTCTGCTGGGTTGTGGTTGTTGTTGTTTTTGTTGCTGCTGCTGCTGCTGCTACTGCTGATGTTGTTGTTGCTGCTGCTGCTGCGCTATTGTTGTTAATAATCGCTTCTAGTTGGCCGCCGTTGCACAAGCAAAACAAGTGATTCTTTAATTAATAATAACTACTAAATTTAAACATTTTACTACAAGTATTTACAAATCACAGCTACAAACACTAAGACAGCAGGCGTGTGTTGCCAGTGTTGCATAACATCGACAGCGACATCCACTTCAACAGTCGTTAACAAAATGGCGGCTGCAACGGCGACAACTAACGGTACACCCTCATTTGCTTGGCTTCACTGATCTCATTCGAATTTTCACATGGAACGAAGTCTAATTAAATCATAGTCCGGCGCGCTTAGCTCCCTCAACGAGTCTCTCCCTAGCAGACACATCTGTATTTCTATGTTTGTGTATGTGTGTGTTTCTTCTCTCTCTCTCTCTCTCTCTCTGTTTTTCTTCTCTTTACAGCCAGCCTCCTTTGCGGCCAAACAACAAGGAACTAACCGATCCCACAAAGGCCTGCGTAATGCTCTGTGGCGCCGCCCTCGACTCACTGTCGCTGCCCTTGGCATCCCCCGCAACTGATGCACTGCTGTCCGCCACCTTGCCCAGATCGGGCCGCACTCGCCGGCCGCTGCCTGCGCCTGCTATGGTGCCCAGATCGGGTCGCTGGGCAGCCATGCCGTTCTTCAGGTTCCGTCGCGACTTTTGTCGCTGCATCTGCTTGAGGCGCGTTTCGCTGGCTGTGGCGGAAGCATCAACTGGTGCTGCAGCTGCTGTTGGGGCTACTCCTGCTTTTGCAGCTGCTGCTCCGACTGATCCTACTGCTGCGGCCGGCTGTGGCCTAGCCTTCAGCTGCAGCACTATGCCTTGGTCATCGCTGTCCTCGCTGCTGTAGGCGCTCGTTGTGGCGCTGCCGCCGCTGGCCACGCCCATTGTCGTTGCGGGCTGCTGCGGCGTTGGTGACTTGAGGCCGCGATGTAGCACACCCTTGATTTGTGCGCGATCAAAGTGGATGTCATCCACGATCTGGTTGCTGTTCGTGTGCAAGCTCTGAAGACTCTCGCCGCTGATGCTGCCACAGCTGCTCAGCTGGGAGAGCGGCGAGCTGCTGCGATTTGCGATGCCGGCGCTGCGGCCGCGCTGTCCGCTGATTATGTTCTCCAGCCCGATGCTCTCCACCTTCTCGATCAGATTGAGCGAGCGCAGCGCCCGACGCTCCAGATGCGACAGCATCACCTTCTGCTGGTGCTGCTGCTTGCTCAGGCTGCGCTGCAGCTGGCTCTCGCTGGGGCCCACCAGCTTGCGCTTGATCAGATCAGCGCCCGAGGAGAGCAGCCCGAAGAGCGGCTCCGGCGACTGGCCCCGCGGCGGCGAGCCCTCCGGACTGTTGCAGGGCGTCACAGTGGGCGAGAAATTGGGGCCGGCGGGCGTATTTAGGGCACTGGGCGTGACCGCCTTGATGCCGCGCTCGTTCAACATGCCAGCCAAGCCCAGATTAACCGAGAACGTGGAGCACGAATTCTTGCGCGACATGCCGGCACGAGGCGTGGCCGGACAACTAAAGAAAAGATAGAGAAACAATAAACATAAATTAAACAAACTTTTGTTATTTGGTATCCCACCTTGGCTGTCTGGATGTGGATGTGGAGGCCATGCGCGACGACATTTGTGACTGGGAGAGGAAGGACAAATCGTTGACGAAACCGTCATCCGGATGCATGACCATACTGTTCGTGTAGGTGTACGTGCAGCCGGGCGCCTCGAACTGCTTGCCCAGGCCAATATCATCGCTGACGTCCTCCTCGACGTCGGACAGCGTGTACACCTGCATACCGAGATCGTCGAGTCCGCGTCCGCCACGTATTGTCACGCCCGGTCGCTCCTCCAGCAGTCCACTCAGCGTGGGCGTGGCCAGGCGCGACCAGTGATGCAGCGTCTGGGAGCCCTCCATGGGCTTCACAATCTGCAGCTTCTCTGGCAGGCGCCACTGGTGCGTCGTTAGCCCCGAGGATGAGCCCGATCCCGTTGACATGATGCTGTCCGGCGTGCGCACACCCATGGGCAAAGTGAGTCCAGCCGGCTGTCCGCCTGCTCCAGCTCCTGATCCGACGCGGCCATGCGTGGGGGGCTCATCGTAGTTGTAGGTGCCGGCGGGCGCATAGGAGAGCATCGCACGCCGAGCCAGTACCTCAGCAGGCGTCAGACGCTTAAGTGCCGCCTCCAGCTCCTTGGCACCTGGAGCACCAGGCACGCCAGAAGGCTGCGCCGGATAGCCATCATCCGACTGCGAGTTAAGGCTTTCGCTCGAGAGCGTCTTCAGGCCCAGCGAATTGCTGCTGCCGCGATAATAGGAGCCAGCCGGGTACGCCATGGAGGCCATGCGCGGACCGGACGAACTGCTCATGGACATGGCGCCCATCTGGGTCATCGACACATTGCCGCTGTCCATGTAGTTGCCGCTCTTGGTGGCACAGCGCACCGTGTCGAAGACGCGCTTGTAGGGCGGAGGCCCGTAGATGCTGCTGGAGCCGAAGCTGGCTGCCATGCCCATGCCACCCGGCAGCTGCGACATCATGCGACTGATGCGATCCGCGCAGCGCTGGCTATCGCCCGATATGCCCGAGTCGAGGCTGTTCTCCGAGTACAACGAGGACTCCATCAGCTCCGACTGCAATGACTCCGCGGCCACAGCGGCAGCGGCTCCGTTCGTGCCCAGGCCGCCTAGGAAGGAGCTGCGCGCCTGTGGCTGCGACCGCTTGCGTTGCTGCTTCAGCTGATCTTGAGCCGAGTGCAGCAGCGCCAGCACTTCCTCGTAGCGCTGCTTGAACTCCACCAGCTCGAGGGCGAGTGCATTTTGATTCTCCTTCGTCACATGCAGCAGCGATAGATGCTCATCGTTGTCCTGCGTCAGCTGATGCAGTCGCATCTCCGCCTCGGCCAGGCGCGCTGTAAGGCTCACAATTTGCTCGTGCTGTAGTCGATTCTCCTCGCGCTGTCGCTCCAGCTCCAGACTGAGGTTGTCGAACTGTGAATTGGCATCGTTCAGCTGGGCACTGATGTCCGCCATCAGGCGTCGCTCGTGCTCCTCCACCTCGTCCGTTTGGTGCGCCAGCTGTGTGGCCTCGTTCTTCAGCGTCTTGTTCTCATCGAGCAAGGAGTTCACTTTCTTCTGCAGCAGGTCCAGAGTGATCGACTTTGACATGGTAGGCGTATCTAAAGGTGGATGAGTTCATTTTAATACTTGCTTTTTATATTATTTATTCAACTTACCCGCATCAGTTGCATCATCTGCATCGTTGGTGAGCACCGAAATTAGTTCGTTCTTCTTGTGTAACTCGTGTAGCAGCTGGGCGCGGTCATCGTTGGAGGCTTTGAGATCTGTTTCCAGATCACTTACACGCGCTTCTAGTGCATTATTTTGCGTGAGCAACTCCTTGCCAATTTGCACCGTCAGCTCCAGGTCCTTTTCCTTCTCTTCCAACAGACGCGTCACGGCCTCTATATCATCGTAGGCACGAGTCATCTGGCTAACACGGTTACCACATAGAACTGCAAGCAATAAATATTATGCAATTAATACAGGAACATTCAAGATTTCAACTAGTATTTACAATTCGACTGCAATTACAAACTATTGATAATATTTAAGCTAGCTTTACATTTCGACTTAAATTACAGACTATCGATAAATAGGGATACAAGATCAAAAGCAAACACATATCGGCAAATCGATTTAACAGGGCTGCCAGATCGTTACGCAATTGAGAAATGTCCAAGACCTATAATACCTTCCATAAGTAACTGTTCATTCTGTTGCTCCCGCTCTCCCAACCCAAATGTCGGCAGACCATACTCATGCGCTGGCGTCGCTGCCGATGTCGACGCAGCTGTTGTTGTTGCACTGCAACCAGCTGAGAGCTCGAGTTCATCCTCATATTCAAGTTCATCCTCTGTGATGCAAAAGTCGTCGTGCCAATCACTCGACGCTTTCGTTTGGCACTCAACGAATGCGCATTCCTCTAAGCAATGCTCTGCTGTTGTTGTTGCACTAACAGCTTCCACAGCATCCACATGAGAGCTGCTGCTGCTGCTAGCACTGCAATTCTCAGTGGCTAAAAATCGATGCTCACTGCCACCGGCAGCAGGCGCCACACCGACAGCCGACCACCACTGCCGCCCTCTCTCCATTTCGTTTGTTGGCGCTGACGCCGCTCCTTTGGCATTGTTTACGTGCGTCATGCTCAATGTATGTAAGTCTTTCGCTTTATTTTCGTTTGGTTCTGTGCTCACGAATTTCCTTAGTCACGCAGCATTTTGCGAATTTCTTTTTATAAAAGTTTAAATTTGCTTCGATTTAGTTTTTTTCGATTATATCGCGTATTATGTAATAAACAATCTCATTGTAAAGTCTGCTGCCAAGGCACTTGGTTGCTTTGTTGGTGGCGGTGGTGGTTCTTGTTGTTATTGCTGCGATTGTTTGTGGATCCAGCGCGGTTGCAACGTTACATTAGTGGTCACATGACTAATTTTTTTTGTAGTTTTATCGTTGTTTGCTTTTCAGCGTGAGTATTGTCAACCGCAGATGAAACACTTAAATTAATTGCTAAATTAATGCGAATTGTCTGAAGTCAGCAGAGAAACTAAAACTGTCATCGCTATTGCTATTGCTTTTGCTCTCTCGCACGTTCTCTCTTCTCTCTCTCTGTGTCAGCGCTCTTTGCCACCCACTAGACGCGCGCTGAGTGTGCGCAATATTGCTTTTGCGCTTTGTTGTCGAAAAAACCTAACATAAACCGAACAAAACCTAGCTTGAACTTCTAAACGAGTATTTCAATATATTTATAGCCGTGAGCGCAACTTTTTCAACTCTCAAATTCAAAGCCACTTCTTGCAAACGCGACGTACACACATACACTGACGGCAGCAGCAGCGGCAGCGGCAGCGCAGCTACTGATGAACAGAGGAACCAGCAGAGAGAGAGGCAGCGGCAGAGGAAGCGAGCAGCGCAGCAGGCAACTGCAGGCAGGCTGGAAGTAAAAGGCGTTTTCCCTAACTCAAGTGAAAGGAAGAGACACAAAAATGTTTGGTGAAAATAAATGCAACATCAACATATGTACATATGCTGCCCCTGCCAGTTCTACGGGAAATACGAGTGTAAATTTAAGCAAATGAACAAAACTCACGTGTCGAAAATAGCCACACAGATTGGTTTTTTCAGTTTTGATTGCGAACTTCACGCGCGTTTCACTTCACTGGTTGGCACTAATAACAACAACAATACTGTTGGTAATCACTATAGCCACAAGGCTGTGGCCAGTCCAAAGGTTGTGAGACATAAACGAATGCAAGCAACAACAAAACTTCCAAATGAATTCTAAGGTAAAAAGAAATATCGCCAGCCGGGCAAACGGCGCTCCAAACTCGTGACGGAGAAGCGACGTCCGACAGATTGACACACACACTTACGCTCACACACGCCTCGCTATACACAAACACGCAGTTCGAGTTGTTATTGGATGAGCCAGTGGAGGGTTAAGTTTTTGTTCGCAATTTCAAAGAAAATTGCTTGCTTATTTTAGTCGATTTTTATTCTAGAAAATATATTGTAGCACTGATTGAAATTCTCGTTTTCGATTTGATATTTGACAATATTTTCTAGTATTTTTTAAACATTACAATTGGCACAAATTGTGTAATTTGCGGATTAGCAGATACACGACAAACGCTCAGAGTGAATTTTATTTGCTTCTGTGTTATTTGTTGCTGTAGTGGAATCCACCACCAAAGTTAGCATCCACATATGAAAAAGAGAGAGGCGCACTGTTATTGCTCTGTTATGAGCGCGCTGCAACTGTTCTGTTAAATTGAAATCCACTCAAAAAGAGAGTGAGAGAACGCTAGCAACTAACAGCATTGCCAACGTAAAAAAATGAACAACTCAAATGGCTTCAAAACGTTTGAATTCAAATTATCTAATTATGTATAAATTATTTTTTATAAACAATTTAAATTGAATTCTTTTTAAAGAGATGATTGTATATCTTATGCAAAAATAATTAAATTATTTGATACTGCATCATAGTAAATAAAAATAAATATAGTAATTATTTAAAATATTTAAAAGTAATTAAAATAAAATAATAAGGCAAAGGGCTTAATAAACTACAATTATGTACATATGTATGTACATGAGTATGTGTGTATGAATGCATATGTCTCTCATTTATCATTTGACACTATCTTTGTTTTTATAGTAGGGAAATCGGAAAGCGTCTACCTAAATCCTAATCCCATTCATGTTTTGAGCACGGATGTCGTGGCGGGTAATTTTCCGCGTATCCGGATATCTGGAAAATAGGATAGCGAATTTCCCAGGAAAACTAAACGCAGACAGAGACAATAAAATCCAGGTACTAATAATGCATACACTTCAAACGAACGCCGATCGAGCTCGAACTTTTGTAGAACCAAATTTCGAGTTCCAATTTCAATCTGCTAAATACTGCTCCGCACGTGTCTGAGCCTCAGCCGAAATAAATAAAAACGTGTAAATTCAATTAGTTGTCGAGTGTTATATAAGACTTTCGTTGACGATTCTGGCTGGCCAGCTTTATATTTCAATTTTATTTACCTTTAGCGATATGCATACCTACACATATAAATACACTCAAACGTTTCTATCTACATCTATTTGTATTTCTCTAATTACTCTCATGGGAACAGCTCCTGAGTTGAGCTTACAGGAACATAAAAAAGAACAATTTTTTTTTGCTTAGAAGCGATTTACTGCAAGTCTAGTATTTTCTCTAAATTATCGTCGATCATTAAGCTTTAAGCCCTAACGACTTTTGTCTGGGAACGCTAATAGAACTCAATATGTCCATTTACCCATTTCATTGCGAATAGCTAGATAAACAGACAAAGCAAATGTCATAAAATGAAAAGAAATATCTGAATGATCGTCAGTTTTAGTTGATCTAATCAGACGCTCATAAGAGCGCTGATTCGGTCTATCATACGATTGGTGTAAAACGCTATGCACCTGACCTTAAAAAAGGAGAGAAACAAAACAGCAAAAAAGTTGCAAAACTGTTAGGGAAGTAAGCTAAGAGTACTGTAGATTAGTGAACCCGGCTGGGAGATGCCCTAAACATCAAATTAAACTTTTTCTATTATAGCAAAATGGGCAAAGTTATCCACAGATAACTCTTCAATCTGTTGAGCTTGGGAATATACGAACTGAGTTTCATAATTTGAGGCTCGTTTTTCTTCTCATGTAACTCGAGAGATGTGGTCAAAATAATTCAAATTCGAAATCGACCTCAATCGATTTGATGATAATGGAAAAGCTATCGATGATTCGCGAAAAAATTGATTTTCACATGTTAAATTTGTGATCTATTGAAATTTGTAGCTCACATCAATTCAGCTAAATTCAGTAGAGTCATATCCCACATTTTCTCGCTCTCTCTCTCTTTGCCTCTGTTACGTGCATTTCAACAAAACCAATATACCCTAAAAAAGTTAATGTTCAACACGTTCAGGGCATAAAAAGCTTAAGATGAGATCATGTGCTTTAATGGTTTATTTTCCTTTGAAATTAACTTGCTAAAAGCTATTCTACATATGTATGTACGTATGCACGTATGATATATATACATATATTTATTTAATTATAAATATCGATAACGCCTTCCGCAAATATCAAGAAAACACAAATACAAAGTCTGAAATGGGAATTAGTAGGAGAAACGGGCGAAAGAAAACAAAAATTGCTGTCGTGCCGCTTAACACGTCGACCACAACAAAGGAATTATACGAATAAAAAATCAGGTAAAGAACTAAGTCTAATTGAGAAAACATTAATCAATCGACAAATATAACAACTAACGATAAGATACGTCCAGTGACTTTCTGCACCGCCGCCAATTGCAGCGGAACGAGCTCTCCCCGCTGCACTTGACCCTTATAGGCCGATAAGCACGCGATAAGGCCAGCGATAACGGATAATGAGCTGGCTCAGTCAGGTAATTCGCACCTGTAAAGCTTATTGAGCATCTAATGGTACCTTTAATAAGCTATTAAAAGACGCCTGCTCAAATGGGCAGCCAGGTATAAATTTTGTAAATATAAACAGTCAACAATCAATATACTACGTATGAGTATATAAATGGATACATATATAGTAAGTAGGTGTACGGTTTTGATTAGAAATGCACAAAATACTTGATATATATGTATAACTCCCAAGTTCGCTGAAATTTCAGCTGTTTAATAATTGAAATAAACAAAAAATAAAACTAGCCTATAACAAAATATAAACTCTTAATGAACCTTCCCTTCCTTTAGCTATACTAACATATGTGTATATCAATATTTGACTTCATTATTAATTAAGTCTGTTTTCTACCTAATTAACTGCTGTTGTAGCATTACGGACTGGCTAAGAGCTTGTTGTGGAAGTGAGTGGGATTACGGCTTGAGATCACAATTCTCAGCTGTGACTTATCACTCCTTGAAAAAGAAGGGAAAGGAAGGGAAGGAAATGTACAAATAGCTGAACAGAGTCCCGCAGGTGGTGCTGAATAGGAGTGAGATGGTTATTTAGGTCAATTGGACAGGGTTTTTGGGACAAAGAGGAGCGACTACGAATTTTCATTTATTTTTGGGCGCGGCTAGATATTATGCAATTAGAATGAACGGTTCAACTGACACAGTAACTCTAATATAGTATATCTATATATAATATATAGTATATCTATATATAATATATAGTATATCTATATATAATATATATCACCATAACCCCATTTATTTTTTGCAATATAACTTTTTGTCTATCTATTACCCATATATACATACATATATATCCATCCATACGCCTATAAATGTCCAACAAAATTAATATGCTAAAAAAGTTAAGGGGGTCATAAAGTCTGCGCTTTATTGGGGGACTTACATAGACGTATATTATTAATAATTACTGTATACAAGCGAAAATGAACGAAAAACAAATAACAATAATGAAGACATATTAACTTTGACTGAAAACCATCTCTTACTTCAGATATATAATTACATGTACATATTATCATATATCACATACATCTACTTCAATAACTCAAATCATATCTTTAATCAAGATCTGAAGGTAGTCTAAAAATATGTTTCAAATAAATCTGGCAGCTCTTTGCTATCCACCTGATCGCTTATCTATGCTACCTATTACTGCCAAAGAAGTTCTTTCCAACTAAATTTGTAATTTCTTTGGAAAGCAATTTTTAATTTAGCTAGATTTATATTTAGATTTATCTTATAATTAATTAATTTGATCTTAATATGCGAGCGAGACAGCCCCAATTTATAGTATTTTTTTTTAATATTTATTGAAATGATGGGTTGTTTTATTTTAAGACCACCAGTAATGCAAAATATTGTTGGATTATATAAAAAGAGAGATAAAGTAGGACATTTGATCAGCTCTTTAAGAGGCATTTAAATTTTTTCTGCCCACCACTCTAAATGAATTTTCACCCGTATCTGTAGTGACAGAATATAGAATAATATTTTGACAGCAATTCAATTGAAAAAGATTTCCAAATCGAATTACAGAGTTGAGCTTGCGCCTTCAGTGGTTCAGTGGGTGATTCTTACCTTTGTTGGTCAAGAGACTGCGCACCACTTTCAGACAGTTCTGGCCATCGACGTTCTTGGAGGCGTAGTACATGAGCTCCCAGGAGTTGGCTGACTGCAGCAGGTGCGCGGGCAGCTCAAAGTTGGGCCCCTCGACGGGCAGGACGCCCGCAATGGGACTGGGCACCGGAGTGCTGGGCGTGCTGTCTTCCTGAGCTGTGCTGTCCCGCTTTGGCTGTCCCTTGGCCGCAAAGTCGTGCAGCAGCGCCAGCAGCGGCGCTGAGCCATTCGCCGTTGCCTCTTGCGGCGTCGCCTTCATCTGTTGCACAATGACGCGCATGCGATCCACAGCCTCCAGCTCGAGCTCGAGGCGCGTGGGCGGCGGCTCGGTGCCATTGACAATGGCCGACATCGAGGCACAGCAGCTGCTCAGGCTGCTCAGGCTGTCCAGGCTGTCCAGCTGCGGATCCAGCTGCTGCAGCCTATCCGCCGTGCGCTGGCAATTGCTCTCCAGCTGCTTGCCCAGCAGCTTGTACGTGTTCTCAAAGTGTTTGCTGGCATTCGACGGCTGTTTGCTGATTGTGGAGGTGTTGCTGCAGTTGCTGATGCTGCTGATGTTGCTGATGTTGCTGCTGCTGCTGCAGTTGGACGTCAGCGAGCAGAGCGAACTGTTGCTGGCCACATGCTGTACCATGGAGCTGCTCAGCAGTTGCTCCTCCTGCTGCGCCTCAAGGCCGGCGACAAAGCTACGCTGATAGCCATCAGAGTCGTCTTCCGGCTCCAGCGTGAACTCATGGATGATGGGCAGAGCTACAGTTGTTGTTGTTGCTGTTAGCTTCACATTTAAGTGTGGCTTTTGTTGTTGCTGCAGATCGTTGCTCTTTAGAGCTGAATTGTTGCTAAATAGTGGCATTTGAGATTGTTGCTGTTGCTGTTGTTGTTGTTGTTGGGTTTTGAAAGCCAGAGCATTGTTTTGTCTTATTTGGCTAACAAGTTTCACACTTGATTTTCCCTCTCAGTTTTTGTTGACGCGCACATTGAACAATTAATTTTAATTTTAAATGCTGCAATTTAATGTTGATGTGCCAAAGAAATTTATGAATGAGTATGTGAAGTTGGCTGTCTGTCAAATGCCAGTGTTGGACAACGTGCACATTCTCAATTGAGTCCTGTTGGGGTTAACAGCCCAAGCCAAATAAACCACTTTAGCTATTTACAAGCTAAATAAACCAATTTAGCTAATATCAAGCGTAATTTACAATTTTAGCTATAATTTGAAAAGCAATTAGATTTTGGCTATATTGAGTTCTAATGGCTTGCAAATTAAAAGCTTTTCCACTTGTTACGTTGACTCCGCTCAGAATACAGTGTTTCCACTACAGTCCTGCACATTATATTCGCATTTTGCGCTACATTAAATTGAAGCATTGCCAGAAAGTTCTGAGTGTGAATTGAAAGAGACTCGACATGACTTCAAATACCCTCAGTGTTGATCAACACAACAAAAACTATATGAGAATATCACGATTCCGTGCTGACTGCACTCAAGTCATAGCACTTCCACGACGCGTCGCCCTACTGATTTGATTGATCAACCTAAATGCGCATTTGGCTTTAATCAAACTGACTCACGAGCGCTCAAGTAAATACTTATTATCTTTATAGTTACGCACTTATCGATGGTCTATTTTCGTTTATCTAAACACTTGCAGCACTATATGAATATGTCTAGACACACACACACATATATATATTTATCTTGATATATATACCAAACATATATTACTTTAGACAATGGCTTATAACAAATTACAAAATTCCAATTTACATAATACAGCATTTCCACTTGCCATTCACAACACTTTAGTTTGCCTGCTGCAGCATTAACATACAATGCAAGTGGAAAATATTTCAAAATCCAAAGATCTAGAGAAGGGAGAGGCACAACTTAACGCCGGCGTGTGGAGCGACTGACTAAAACTGAAGAATGGCTTTGATGAGGCGGGCCCTTGGATTCGGAAAAATGTCGAGCATAAAACAAGTTTACATTTTATTAGCCAGCTCGAAAGATGCGCCTTTCCACTCAGCCATAACATGTCGGCGATCACGTAGCTAGCTCTAGTGGGCTTTCCTATCTGGGACTGGGCGAGTGTCAATGTGTGTGAGTGTGTGTGTGGGCTGAGAAAATGTAGAACCCATCTGAGCGGAGGATGTTAAGATGACCAGCTAAAGTAAAAGGGGAAATGATGCAACATTAAGTTAAGCGCCACTGATGTAGGTTGATGATGCTGCTGTATCTACTGCCGCTGCCGCTGCCGCTGCGCTGAATAACTATCAGATCATAATTTATGGTCGAACAGAGTGAAAGAAAGAAAATTGAGCTGAGCTAAAAAACAAACAACCGTTATAGAGCTTGTGCCAAATAGAATTTTCCGCTGAGAGATGATCAGCAATAAAAAGAAGGCAATGTTTAAGCAGAACCAATGGCTATCTGAAAATAGATAATACTCGGTCGGGCTACCTAAGCAAATTTATAGTCGTAAAAAATTATACTAGAATTGCCTTTCATTTTGTTTTTTTTTTTTTTTTTAGCATATTCAGAAAAACTTTATATAGATAGGCATAAATAATATTTCTTAGACATTTGCCTTAAGGAATCACAATAAATATTTCTTATTTACAAACTCTCTCTGTCTCTCTCTCTCTCTCTCTCTCTCTCTCTCTCTCACTTTAATTAAATATATAAACTCTAGAAAATCTCTCAAACTATAAACTTAGTTTAGTTCATACATAATTCTTTTTATCATATCATCGGATACATGTGTATATATGCCGGAATATCCCATATATTATATTAAATTGTAAACCAACATGGGTCTTCTCTTATAAACTTGAATGAATCAACACAAAACAGTTTGATTAATGTGCAGTCACCATTTAAGCGAAATTGCAAAAATATAAATACTTTGACACAGTCTTGGGATACTCTATAACTTTTTTAATATATAAGCAAACACAACTGGAATTATGACAAGCATAAAAGAATATAAACCCAAGAGGATTGAAATTAATAACAGAATTTGTTTATTTCTATTTGAAGAGAGAGGGAGAGAGAGCGAGAGAGTACAGAGTGTATCGCATATAGCGAAAATGAAAATAACTTGTGAGTGGTTCATCGACATGCGACAGGCGTAGAGCCCTCAAATGATATTCATTAATATCTGTATACAAATACAAATATTTATATATGTATATGTATGTATGTATATACGCACACTTTATGAGTCAGACTTTAAAAGGTAAGCCTCGGCTATAAAGGCAACGCGTGCGAAGATAGGGGTGCGGGGCTTTAGTGGGTTAATGTAAATTACGCTATCGCATCGATAATAAAGCATGTGAGAGACTCAAGAATGGCATTGCTTGATTGGCTAATTGGCTTTGAATGACAAAGCTATCAAAGTTATGTAAAGGAAGACAGCTGAATAAAAAAAAAAATAATAATAATAAACAAAATAATACACTTTTGTTAGTGGGGAAAGAAAAAATATAATAATAAACATACAAAAAATGCCAATCAATCGTGCTCACACACGAAAATGAAACGAAAACGGTTTAAAGCAGCAGCTAAATTAAGACAAACTTTGTAGTTTCGATGTAGTTTGTTTCGGCTTGTCTTTTTTTTTTCGTTCACATCAACTTTCACAAAATGCTGTTGGTGGTAATTAATTATTGGCAAAAGTTGGGCGCAATTAAATCTACTTCTACTTTTATGGTCAAGCGGCCCGCTGAATGCAAAAACAACAAAAGGAATGCACTCGCTATCCAGCACTGCTTATAAGGAAGTTCACTGCGAGATAAATTCAGCTCTTTATTATTACAGTACGTATGCTCGTGTGTGTGTGTGTGTGTGTGTGTACTAATAACATATGCAACTATTTCCACTTGTCTCAACTGCAAGAAAAGAAAAATGCTTTGCGCTCCATTTCGCTACGCTGCTAATTGTGGACCGCAATGTGAATGTCCTAATCAATAGGCCAGTGACAGACACACAACACTCTCCACATACATATATACATACATACATGGCACAAAAGACACAAGAAATTCACACACTCACACACAACTGTATAACAACCGTTGGCCATTGGCGAACAGTTGCCAGAGGTGTGTAGTGTTGTAAAATGACGCAATTAAAGTATGTCATTTAGCATTTTGTTTGTGTTTGGCAAAGAAGTGCTCGCGGGTCCCCCTCGGACATAATACGTATTATATCCAAGCATAAACACACTCACACACATGACACAAATTTTTGCCAGTTTGTGCATTGTATGTTGGCCGGCACCAGCTTAACACCAATAAAAATAGCCAACAATGTGGGTCGGGGGGAAATGATCAGCAATTTAACGTGCCTAATAGCTAACAACAGCAACGTCCACTTTTATTGCGGTTTATTCTCGTGATGAGTAACCCAACGGAACGCGTTTGCGTTTTTGCGGGTTGCTTTAAACGCAAAAGATAAACTCACACGCACAGCTGACAAGAGCGGCGGCGGTGTCTGATTGATGCGATACGGCCAAGAGCAAGAGCAACAACGTAGCCATAAATATTTTCTGATAATGATTAATCAGCGTAGCTATGGCCGGTTGCAAGAAAAAGAATTCGAACTAGAACTCAAACTGGAACTGATACTGGCACTGGCACTGGAACTGGAACTGGAATTGTAATTGGCAGTGGATAAGCGGCATGTACAGAGCGCAACGGTAAATGGTTAAATTACGAACGACATGCAAAAGGCGACGAGCAAGCGAATAGCCGAGCAAACAGCTAACAGCTGTGCCTGCGCGTCTGTCTGACCGATGTGTCGAGCGGACGGACAGTTGTAGAGAGCGAACAGACGCTAAATTCCGATAGGCAAACACACTTGATTGCTTATCAGCAGCGGCAGCGGCAGCAGCAGCAGGCGACAAACAGCGAGACAGAATAGCGGCACATGGAAAAACGATTATGTAAAGCGCAGCTGGCAAATGGAGACGTTCAGCGGGCGACAACAGAACAAGCAAGAACAAATTAAGCTGACAGACGAAGACCCTGCCCTGCCCATACCCATGCCCATGCCCTATTTGAATTACAACTCCTACACTTACACACACACACTGAGAGCATGGCGACCCCATTCATAAATGAGTGTGTTTACACACAAAAACAGGCAATGGCAATTCGTTTTCTTCATAATTCACAAGCAAGTTCAAAGTTTTTGTTGCTGTGTGCGCGTCCTAAAAATAAATACAGTTGTATGACGCCAGGCGGCGGCAAGCTGAAGCACTTGGAGAAATTCCAAATGTTTCGTTTGGCTCTTGTATTTCTTTTCCTTTTCTGCTTTTTTTTTGCACAAATGAGCAATACACACACACAATAACACACTCAAAGTGCGTGTATTAGTAATAATTTTCGATTGCTTTTTTTTTAGCTTATGGTTTTGCAACACATTTTTTTTAGCGCTTTTATAGTTTGATTTTATTTTTGGTAATTATAATTTATTTTTGCTTATTGGGGCACGCATACAATTTCACTGGGTACACAGCAAACGTCTCATAATTTTGGTTCAATGTCGACGTGTTTATATTTTTAAATTAGATATTAAAAACGCGCACGACGCTTACGAATTTCTTTTGGCACTATTTATTGCTTACGGCGCAACACCGTCAGTTGGCAAAATCTTTTGAAATGCACACACATCGACGACGCACGCGGAATGACAAAGGCTAGGCAATGCCCCGAACCCGTTGGCGGCGGCTCCAACAACAGCTGATTGCGGTGTGAATGTCAAAACAGCGAATGACAACACCAGCTGATGCCAGTGTGACCAGCACTATTAAAAGTAAATTGGGTATATTCCAAATAATAATTTAAACCTGCTTTCCATTTAGAAACAAAAAAGTCAATGCCAAATATTTCATATAAGTTCTAGCCATTTGAGAATATAAATATGCTCAAATATGGTTTATCTTGTGCGAATAGCAAAGAGCGCCGTTGTCAGTTCACAACACTGAACGTACGAGCCACAAGTATTGTGTTATGAGTGAAAGCTTGGCGCAATTTTTAAATTTGTAAACCGACAACGTTTGAAAATTCAGCTGTGCGCACATACTACGTGTATGAAAACATTCAACAGATGATTAAGAAAAACAAATTTACATTATGAATTACACTTTGATATACAGTATCACAATTGTATGTACATATTAAAATCTTAAAAGTAAATTTTGAAGACGCATTAATAATACTTTGTCACAAGTTTATTGGCGTCAAAAACGCGGCACATTTGCAAAAAATAGAATACATATAGAATTTATTTTTATCTTGCTTCGAGTTGCGTAGATAAAAGAGAATTGCGTTTTGTCTTTCATGCGGCAGATAAACAATTTTTTTAAAGATCTTTAAAAATGAATAAAACTTGGCAAAAAACAAGAGATAGAGGATATATAATATATGAATATATATATGAATATATAATAAGACAATAAAATGTTTCAATTTTTGCTCTATTATATAACTATAGCAACGGGTTGAGAAATTTGTACACATACAATACAATATGAATTTAATTGAGCAATTATGAATGGATGGATATTGGGCAATTAAAGTATCATATAGTAGAGTATATGTATAAAGAATTATATTTTGTAAGCTTATCAGACAAGGTCAGACAATTTGTTTAAAGAACTTCATGAACTATTTATAGCGTTTGAGTAACTTAATATTAGTATTGCTGATTAGTGACTGCACTTACGGAAATAGTTGAGGCACTCTCTAGTCTGTTCCTTGGTCAATCCGAGACCCTCGACTGGAATGGGCAGCGCTGGAGCTGGCACAAACCAATCCTCATTCGCATAGCCCGAGAAATCAGTGAGGAAATCATTTCGCACTTTATATTTGGGTATTTGTTCCTCCAGCAGTGAGAATATTTCCACCTCCGGCAAATTCTCGTTGCTGCACAAATCTGTGAGGGTGTGAACAGATGGAAGTAATTAGCAAGGGGTTAATTACAGTCAAATTATTGCACAACTCACCAGTTAGGCAACTGGCATCCGCGGTCTGTGGTTTGTTGGGCGTCGTCGCCTGTTGCATGAGTCGCTTTGTTTGCAGCTTGGGCAAGTGTTTGCTGAGCGTCGCCTGCGCCGAGGGACTGAGCGGCATTTGGCCGCCATTGGCCCCCAATGTTGCGGATAGCATAAATGTTGAAGAATTCTAATATATTGTCGTTATCGATATCGATACAAGTATAATCGATTTAGCTGCTGGTCAATGTGTAGTTAGTTGATTTTCTGCAATTGGAAATGCACATCGGCTTGTTAATTCACCGACTCTTAAACGAAAATAATATTTAGCCAACAGCTAAGAGCTAACAGCTAGCAACAAGTAGCACCCAGTCTACGCGCGTTTTCCCCGTCTACTTTCCATTATTGAGTGGGCGCTTATCTTGCCGCACAAGTTTCGATAATAAAGTCAACGTCAAAGCGATGATTATTAATACTATAAATATTAGTGAAACGTCAAAGGATTTTAGCGTTAATTTATCACAAGCATAATTCGCACATTTACACACAGGTACTGCTGCCGAAGCTAGCTCCGACTCTATATCACTTATCATTACAACTGATTATTTAAACATGTTGATTGATTAAAATTTTTTTTTTTTTTTTTAATTTTTTTGTAAATCATTATCTTCTTTAAGATACCAAAATAAGCAATTCATTTGCTATCCAAATAAGTTCACATTTTATTTAAAATTGCAAAAATTTTCGTCATGCGAATTGCACAACTTGATCATCAGGCATACGGAAAGGCTATTAGACAAATCAGATCTCAAATTAATATTCTCGTTTTCATGTTTTTATCACTACTATATAGATAATCGTTTATCATTCTGTTTACGTTTAAAATTTATTTATTTTCAATATCATTTAGCATAGACATGACAGCGCAAAAAAAATATGCAATAGGTTCAGCAGTTCATCGCTTTTTTAAGGAGTTTATCACTAACTCTGATTTGGCCACACTTTATTTAAAACTGGCAAAAGTTTGCATCCAACAATATTGCGATCATGGGACTAATCAGCGATGGTTTGTATCAATAAATAATTCCCAAAAATATATATATGTATGAACATTATCCTCATATTTTATTAGCAAAGGGATCAATATGTTTGTTTATATTATTTACCGCGCACATTCACAAATATTAAAAGCGTTGCGTGCTGACTGTCGTGCAAATGTTAACTGATTTATTATTGTCTGTCATCTGGCAGTGGGTTAAATGGAGTCTGCACGAAGAGAACTTCAACTGAATTGAAAGTTCGATTGGTAATTGTTGTTGGCTTCTTATTTAAGAGTATGAAGCCAAAGAGAGATGGCCATAAAGCAGACAGACACTCCGACTACGTGCCGAACGCGGCGTATACGTATCGCGGCAGACTCTGAAGCTCGCAAACGAAACGATATAATATAACACGGAGCGGCGCGAAGTGCGGAGTGTAAAACCGTGTAATTAAACTGTAAACAAAACACAAAAAGCAAGCAAGCGCTCACTCGAATACAACTTATTAGTGGGAGCGAAATTGTGGCGAAAAGTTGCACTTCCTCTGCCCAAAAGCTTTTCAAGGCAACTCGAAGTCAATGGCGCTGACGCACAAAGGCCGTTTTAATAAGAGCATGTGACGCTGACGCGAACAGCGATGCCGACGGCGACGTCGACTGCATGGAAAGCAATAGGCATTGCGAGCCACAACTGAGGTATTCCCTGACCGTCGCCGTTAGATCAAGCGAGCACAAAGGTTTCGCGATAATTGCGATAACAGCAAACGAACTTCGCGATTGCTTATTGTTTTATTTCAGTTCCTTTTTGCTATCGACGCTTAGCCATTTCCACTGCAGCAGCTGCATTGCGTAATAGAAATTTACATATAGACAGAACCAAACACAAACACAAATACAACAAACTCGTAAATGTGAATGTGAATGGAAGCCGGCGGTGTCAGCAGCGAAGCGAATGATATGTATGGGAAAAAATAGCAAATTGCTGCTATTGGCTGCCGTTGCTCTTGTTCCCGTTGTTGTTAATTTTTGTTCTCGCGCGTCTTGTTCGAGACATTTTCCACTTAATTTTTTTATTTTTATTTTTTAGCTGTGTTACGTTTCGTTTCACTGTCCACTGTTAAGCGCGCGTTGCCAGCGAAACTGAATGGATGAATGGCATAATTCTCTAAAATAAATTTGAAAGCCAAAGGCAAGTGATGGCTGGCTGCAACAATGGCGACGCTTGCCAAAAAAAAAGAGAAAAAGCCAAATACTAATTTGTTAAAGTTTCGTTTCCCTTTGTTGGCGTCAGCTTGTGCTTAAATAGTTTTGCCTTTTGCTGCTGCTGTTGTTGTTTTTGGCTTTCCTCGCTTCGTTCTGGCTGTTTTTACGGTGTACTCAATTTTTTGGCATACGCACCGACACACACACATATATATTATACACACATATACCGCATACTTATATAAGCAGCGCTGCCATCGAAGACGACGCTGCCGTCAGTGGGGCAGGGTCATTAGACGACACCGTTGTAATTTGTAAAATGAATTTATTTAAAGTGTGTTCCGCATGCAGTGCCAAACATGAATCAGCTGGGCTGGGATTTGGAATGGGGATGCTGCTGATGCTCCGTAGGGGAGGTCAAAAATGGGATGCGTGGGCGCAGGAATGTATTGTGCGTATTCATATGACACTGGTCGCTTGTGTGTTTGTGTTTGGTTGAGGAGCGCGCCCACTACAAATGTGTGATTATAAAACACTGTCATCATTTGCTCAGCACTCGCGCACTCATTCACCAGTGTGAATGTTACTCATATTTCATAATTTTTTCCCAAATTGTTTTGTTTCGAACATGTAACCTACACAATCCACAAATTATTGAATTTTCATTTTCAGCACAACTTTATTGATGTTACTCGACAATACCTACATTTGTTGTAGTTGTGCATGTGTTTGCCATTTTATTTTTTATTTTTTTTTTTCGATGTGTTGTGGCTGATTTCACACTAAAAATCGAAGCGAAAACCACATGCCACTCTTCTCTCTGCACAAGCGCGCGTCAATCGATGGAACGAAAAACTAATTGTAATTTGTTTAGCTAGTAAAATATACACTTTGTGTTTGTGTGCGTCGAGTCACATTGAGTTAAACTAAATAAAATAATCGTTGGTCTAAGGAATTTGCTTTTTTCTGCAGCTGCAGACAATATCTTGCGCACACTGGTGGTGGAACGAAACGCGATTGTCAGCCTCTAAATAGCTATCGATGTTTTGGTATACGACTTCTCCATATATCGATAATTTTTGTGATATTCTTTTTGGATACCGTTCGTACTTTTTCAAAAATATTTAATTTTTTCTTAAGCATACCAGCGGTTTCCAAGATTGCGAGATATTTACTCAACTCTTTGAGAGCGACCAGGGATTGTAAATAGCCTTATTTTGAAGCAAAAAATGTCATATTTGAATTTTTATTTTGTTTTAAATTCTTGTCTACAAAATATTTTTTACTTTTGTTTACATAGCATTTTACATTATGTAGCGCTGTCTAAAATCATGCTTTAGGGTAAAATAATTACAAATTTTTAATGTCTCAAAAAGTTTTGAATTCAATATCCAAATAGATTTTTTGGCGTGTTAGGAATGCCTAATTATCTGATGCATACATTGTTATATATATTATGTATATATTTAATTGTAATGTAATTGTTTTTTGATTTGCCCCATATATTCTTCAGCTAGCGGAGGACAATTACACAAGTTCGGAAAGTCTTTCAAAAAATGTTAAAATTATTACAAAACTTGGTTGTTTAACGAATAATAACAATATTTAGTTGCTTAGTGTTGCAGTTGCAAATCTATCGCCTTCTCCCTTGCTTCATACCGTCTATTTAATCGTCAGCATTTTTACGTGTCGAAGCAATCAAATCGACTGCACTGATAGCATCCGGAAACATCGAGTGATAGTTGATAACTGGCACGTACGCCGCCGTGATCACACGGCCAGCGAACCAGCGTCCGTGCAGCGCGTTGACCGCAAGCACCGCTGTCGTCGTACTCGGACATTTCACATAAACCGTACCCGTTGGTGATACGGTGTCCACGTGTATATGCAAAACGCCACCGTGTTTGGCGCATTCGTCGAGCACATCGTCACGGACGTCCGTAGCCCATGTGGGATTTGTCTCGGTGCGTGGATCAAACATGTTGGACAGTATAAAACACTGAGTAGCTATGGATGGCGTCTGTTGCTGCTGCAGCACCGGCGCAGGCTGTGGAGCTGTTGCCAGCAACGCATTGGCTGCAGCTTGTGGTACGGCTAGGCCTGCGCCCTCGGCTAGCTTAAACATCAGCTGTAATCGTCCTGTGGCACCGAGATCAATGCCGCTGCGGTCCATTTCATCAGTATCCAGCGAACTAGTATTCATATCCAAACGCTCTGTCACATTGCCTACTTTCATTGGCCGCCCCGCCAATTCAAAGCCGTTCAGTTGCTCCAAAGCCTTTTTGGCATCATCAGCGTTATGATACTATAAATAAGAAAAATATATATTTTTAACTTTATATAAAATATAGAAAGTTTTTTGTCGTACCGTAATAAAGCCGTAGCCCTTTGAGCGACCTGTCTCCGTGTCCATAATCAACTGGATAGCATCAATTTTGCCAAAAGGCTCAAATATGCCACGCAGCATGTCCTCGGTGATGTTGAAGTGCAGCGATCCCACATAAAGTCGCATGGGTCCAGTGTGGGCCTTGGGCTGAAATGGAGGCGGCGCACTCTGCAGTCGATTCTTCTCTGCCTGCGTATGCTGCACCATAATCGGTACGCCCAACAACCGCTGTCCCGACAATCCCAGGGCTAATGCTACAGATTCCGGATCCTCAAATTCAATGTACGCAATACCCTTGAAGCGTTTTGTCTTGTTGCACGTAATTAGACGGACATCGCGAACCTTTCCCACGCTGGAAAAGAACTCCTCTAGATCACGAGCGCGCACCCGCTGTGATAGCTGAATGCAGAAGACTGTCCGTGCATCGCGCTCCTCAGGACTGAGTTCGGTGGGTGGTGTGCGATCCCCGATGCCATTGGGCGGCGATCTTCCACCACCACGTCCGCGTCCACCATATGGTCGTGGTGAGTAACTGGTGCGACGGCGACTGCTGTATGATAAAAATTATAACAAAAGATAACAAAATTAACATCATAGGAAAATTATAAAAATATAATTACGCCATACTTTGTATCTCTGGAGCGTGAATGGCTCCGCCGACGTTCTCGTATGGGACTCATGCGCTTGCGCTGCAGGTCACGCGAGCGACTGCGTCGACGCTTGTCACGAGATCTGCTGCGTTTGCGATCGCTATCCCGAATGCTCTTGCTGCCACCACGCCTTTCGCGCGAACGTCGATCACGATCACGATCGCGATCGCGATCATTGCGTCCGCCACGTCTGTCATCGCTGGGACGCTCATCGCGTGTGCGACTGCTGCGTTTGCTATCGCGATAACGATGATCGCGCTCCCGTTCCCTATCTCTATCCTTGTCACGATAGCTGCTGCGCTCACTGCCGCGCTCCTTCTCACGTTCCCGATCCTTGGAGCGTCTGTGGCGTGATCCACTGCGACTACTGTTATGGGAAAAAGCAAGAGAATACAGCAAATTCAATCAAAATGATTATAATTTTGTGAGAATTTCCATTCAATTTTACCGTGAGCGATGGCTCCGTTTTTTGTTGCCGTTTGAGGAACGCGTTCCGTTCTCCGCATAGCGTTCATCCTCCTCGTTGTCATCGTGGCCTCCGCTCTCGCTGCCGCTGCTGCGCCCGCGTCCACGTCCAGCACTGCCCGCACTGACGTTCTACAGATAGGGTTTTGGTTTTGGTATTTGGTTGGTTGGGTGAAGACATGGGAGGTGGAAGTCGCAAGCAATAATGTACATACATAGAATTGGATAGTTTCATTTGTTCATGTTTTGTGGGGGACATGGAGACACAAACACACATAACGTTTCGGTTCGTCGACGATCCCACGTTACGTTGTTTTCGTTTTTTGATGTTCGTGGTTGTTGTATTCATTTTACAATATTTGTTCAGGTATTTGTATTGTTTTTTATTGTAAAATATTTTTTTTTTCGTTTTCGTTTTTCGATTTTTTTTTTTTTGAATAAGAGAAAGCAAATCAAAGTAAATTAGTTAAATTTTTGGTATCTGCAAGTATATAAAATAGAAATGCTTAAGTCAACAATGATCGATTTACAGATCATTGCCAATTTACAGCAATATAGCAATAGAGTAATAGTAATGGTAATACATATGCGATTAATACAAGTACAACAGATTTCTTCGAGTCGCTTCTCTGTCTTGTAGAGATATATATACACATATGCACCTAAGAAATATATATGTATATATATATATATAAATTTGAGTACATCATATCACGTATACCTATCTATTTATATATAAAGTGATAGATAGGCTTTGGAGCACACACATAGATAAGTAGATCACGGCGAAATGTCTCCACACATATTTCAATATTCGTTTCGGTATTTGGGTATTAGCGCTGGCTAGTGGTTGGGATGGTTTGTTGACTGGTTGCTTTGGCTCTTATTTGACTCTAAAGACTCTGGCCACCACATCGCAGGCGCTCACGTCTATATATGGGACATACATATACATAGATATAAGTTATAAGATATATTGTGTAGTGAAATAAATTGATGTTTGCTTATTACGTTTTTTCTTTTCAATTTTTATAGGCATTTGATTTTTGGTGTGATTTTTATGATTTTATTTTTAATATTTGGGCATTTCAGACTCGACTCCTGAAAGAGCAGTGAAGTGGACTTGTGAGACTTTCTTTCATTCTTGTCTGTCTGTGAGTGAGAGTAGTAGTAGAGCTGCCTGCTGCCCCACACAACAATAGGTCGAGTTTATCTGAAATTTAGTGCACGTTCAGTTTTCATTGATTTTTTTTAGCAAGTTAAAGAACAAATTCATAAAAACATAACAGAAACAGAAATCATACAGAAAACAAATGCCTAGATATGTTTTGGGTTTTATTTTCTTTAAATGTTTTTTTTTTTTTTATTTATTCATTTATTTTTTTTCGCAGTTTCTGGTACATTCAAAACTTACCAAATGGTCTCCAGCTTTTTGTGTTTAGAATTACCAAAACAATCACTAGCAACAATATTGAGCTTATACGATTTCTGCAAAGACATTTCACCCTTAAGAATTATTCTCGCTTTTTGTTTTAAAAGGTTTCTTTTATTTTGTTGGGTAGTGTGATATTATCTTATTAACTTGCACATTGCTATTGCTTAATTTTAATTTTAAAGAGATAGAGACAGAAAAGAGAGAGCAACCACTCATCTATTAAGTTCGAACAAATTCATATTTCGAAAACGCGTTTTATGAAAAGTAGTAAGCATATAGACATGGCATACATAAGTACAAAATTTGATGAAGTAGTCCACTTTTAAATTCTATTGTATTTTATATGATTTAATATAAATTCACTTTATCTGGTTTCAGATACTACCTGGAATATGCAATATCAAATACCACACTATATAAAAATAATACGTATGAAACCGATATTTTCTGATGAAAGCTTACCAACCGAAACAATATGAATTTTTAATTCACATTTCCTTATCAAAATACTACTTGACACTTTATACAGATAAGAAGTAAAAGAACCAGCCTGACAACCGAAAGCCTCAAATAAAACTAAAGGTAAATATATGATACATTGCGATTATGTGCAAATTAATACTAAAACAAACAAGTCACACACACACGCACACGCTCGTTACGTGGGGTTTGATTAGGCATCACATTCACTTATGTATAAAACATATTAGGGCGATAGCCACCGGCCGACCTTTGCAAATCGATATAATCGATTGTCGATTGCGCTTTTGAGAACTAAGGCTTAAAATCGATTTAAAGAAAACCACTTCAATGCAATAGTCACACATTCACACACACAAATGCATACATAAGCGCATAAAGGTGTTAAGCAAACTTTACGTGCCTGTTTCTCAGACATCACACATACACACATATGCATGTAAGTATGTATCTCACATGAGAACGCGAGAACGCTTGTAGGTGTCTATTTGGAAAAAAAGTATACAAATTTTCATAAAATATACCATTGTCGTAGGGATAACATAATTGGTACATACCGTTTCTTAATTAATATATATGTCTAGATAACGAATAGCTATACTTACGTTTTTTTGGTACGGCGCTTCCAGCATTGCTTCCACATCAAAGTCTTCGGCCATGTTGAATTTTTGGGACGGGATCAAACTCCCCAAGTAGTTGTCTAGCACGGTTGGAGAAACCAAAAGTTTTGTTGGTATGCACACCGCAACTCGAAGGTTCACTTACGAACTGGGTTTTCAATTGATTTGGAAGTTTAATGACAATTTCCTTATATTTTAATATTTTTTCACAGCGTGGCTGGCTATGTTGTGTTGCTTCAGGGTTGATAATGAATACACATCGATGCCTACAACAGTATCGATTCTTTGAACACGCATGTAAATTTTCCAAATTTAAATAAGGTACCAATGAACAGAAATAAATATTTTACTAATACCTATATTAAAATAACAATTTAAACAACATTTATTTGAATACGTTTTTTATATAATATGAATTGTTGATCTAGCTTGCAACTCTAACCTGCCTTCAAAAGTAAACTATAGCGTTGCCATATCACCATTAGATTAATCGATTTGTTTATATTTACATATACGCAGCGAAATTTGGTATTTGCAGAGTTATTATCATTGCTTGCATTTACTACCGTTTTAATAAAGCTTCATAAACGAAAGTATATCGTGTCGAACAGGTGCCAAATTGATTGAATGGCGCTACGCAATCCAAAACGTACTCCCAAAAACTTACACTGCTGGCAGTGCTAATTGTTGAGTCATCAGCGTCCCAGTCAATAACACAGAGCAGAAGAAGAGTTGCAGCAGCCTTGGAGGTAACGGCAAGCGCTAGACCGTATACGTAGGTTGCGTGAAAAGAGCGCACCACTACCACAGCCACAGGTGAGAGGCAGTTGCGTAAATGAAAAGTGGCGTAAGCTGCATCTGCGGGTGAAACTCCAACGCTACCCAACAACTAAACCATCCCCCAATACGAACGCGCCTACGTTTACACACACGTTACGGGTGGCTAACTAAGGTGTGTCTAAGCCTAAGTAAAGCTCTGTATACTAGTTTCTTTTTTCTCTTTTTTTGTTGTTTTACATTTTAGCAGAACTCAACTGCAAATGGAGGACTACAAGTTCTTATTTAAAATTGTGCTCGTGGGCAATGCAGGCGTTGGAAAGACATGTTTGGTGCGACGCTTTACTCAGGGTCTCTTTCCGCCCGGACAGGGAGCTACAATTGGTGTGGACTTCATGATTAAGACCGTTGAGGTCGAGGGCGAAAAGATTAAGCTGCAAATCTGGGATACTGCCGGACAGGAGCGCTTTCGTTCCATCACACAAAGTTACTATAGATCAGCGCACGCGCTGATACTCGTTTATGATATCAGCTGCCAGCCTACGTTCGACTGCTTGCCCGACTGGCTGAGAGAGATCCAGGAGTATGCCAACTCGAAGGTGCTCAAAATACTGGTGGGCAACAAGACGGATCGCGATGATCGTGAAATTCCCACGCAAATAGGCGAGGAGTTTGCTAAGCAACATGATATGTACTTCCTGGAAACATCCGCCAAAGAGGCGGAAAATGTAGAGCGCCTGTTCTATGAAATCGCCGCCGAGCTCATTGGCCAAGCGCGCAGCAAGGACGGCACCAGTGCCGCCGCTGCGGCTGCACAACGTCAGTCGGATGGCGGCGGCTCCATTGGACTGGGCAGCTTAAGTGCCAAAGCAGCTCAGGGCAACTGTTGCGGTGGATCGAACAGCTCGAGCAGCGGCAACGCCAACTCCAACTCTAGTCAAGGCGGCTGAGCAGGGAACGTAGCAATAAAAAATCGGCAACTGGCAGCTTTCAGCTGAGAAGCAACTCAATGACTATGGATGCTAAATATTTGTGTTAAAAACTCCATTGGATGTGTAGTTTTAGTACTCCTTGATTTTCTCTTAGTATTATTTGTTATAGCATAGATCTGAATCGGAGATCTGGTTGGTGACAGCATCACGAGTTTATGCTTTAAATTCATGTTTATATTGAAAACATCATCATAGCAATGCAATGCACATTTTGTTTTTATTCCTAGAGTGTTTAACTGTGTATTTAAAATATTTTTTATATGTTTATACAAATGCGTATTTATTATAATTTTTTATTAGCAATAATTTATACATATGCTATTTAAATGGCATTTACGCGAACTGGCGTAATAGTTTATAAGACGATTTTATGACATTCCAAAAATTAAACATGTAGTTCAATATGAAACGAAAGGAATTACTCACTTTGTAATTAAATAAACCCAAATACAGTTTTTATGTGCATCCGAAACGTATTTCAATGAGTGTTGGGCAGATCTACAATCTATGTAGATAATTCTATGGGGGAGAGTATTCATGTTTTAATGGAGTTTCGTTTCCTTGAATAAAACGATGTATTTGATAAATGCTATAATTCCTTGGGAACTTACTTTTTGGAACAATTTCTTTACTCGAATCCCACAAATTATCACCCTGAGTGAAAAGATATCGTTGAATATCAAATTGTTTTTTTTTTCATTTATTAAATATTGGTATTTTGAATTGGTACATTTGTCGCTTGATGACTTTTCTCTAGGAGAAAATTTCATGCTTAGTATTAAGCTCTCTTTGTATAAACTACAATATCTGCTTCTGTGTGTATATTCGACATTCAACTCTAAAAATATAATGGTGTATATAGTTTATATATATATATAAATAGAGATATGTATGTGCATGTATATTGGCTATATATGGTAAATATCCTTGTATAATGTCATGGTAGCAAAAAGGCATACGCGTATAGCATAATCAAAAGAGTATATAATAATGATAATATAGTAGATAGAAAAGTTGTAGCTGCAGCTGTTGGATTAGTTTCTTAGCTAGCATTAGAGTCTGTTAGCAGGCCACACACGAACACATACATAATAAATTATATACATTTATGCATAAATAAAATACATGTAAATGCTAAAAATTAATATAATAATAATAATAATAATAATTTCATTTAATACAAAGATTATGAATAATTAAACCATTTTAAAAAGTAAACAACAATTTGGGTCGGCCCTTCACAAAATTTTACATTCCTGACAGCCTGGCACTTTCGTTATCTATATATGTATGTTTCGATATATATATATATATATATAAATATATATAGGCATATATATATTTTTGTTTTGATTTGATTTTGGATGTATGTGGTATGTGTGTTAGAGCTGGCGTGAGATTCGTTAGATTGTGATATGATTGCGACCGTCGCCGTCGCCTCTATGCTTCCTTACCTTGATGCTACTGCAGCATCAGGGCATTTAAATTCCGCTGCAGTATCGTGTCCTTCACCGAATTGAACACCACGTTGATGTTGCGCGTGTCTATGGCAGTGGTAAAGTGATGATAGATTCGGCTGGTGCTGGTGCTGCGGCGCACGCTCATGAACATTTGCAGCATGAAGTTCTGGACGTCCAGCAGTGAATGCGGATTGCCATTGAATTGCGGATAGTACCAGCGTATATCAGTCTCTGGATTTCGTACTTTTTGCTCGAGCAAATCGGTCTTGTTGAGAAACAATATTATTGAAATGCCTCTGAACGTGTTGTTGTTCACAATGGTATCGAAAATGTTTTTGGACTCTTCCAGACGATTGGTTTTTCTGTAAATCGAAGCAAGTCCACATTCAAATTTTAGCCTCCTCTGACATTTCAGTAAGCCCCACTCACCTGTCTTCGGCAAGCACCTGATCAAACTCTGAGCTGGACACTAGAAATATAATCGATGTAACCGAGGTATCAAAGCATCTGGTCCACTTTTGACGTTGAGTGCGCTGTCCGCCCACATCCACAAACACAAATGGAATGTTCTGCAACCAAAATGCACCATACAATAAAAAAAATCAAATTAAAAACCACAAGCAATCAAATGTACGCCACAATTGCAGCTCACCTGTACTTTGACACAAAACTCGTAGACACCTTTGGTTGCTTTGCGACAGTGCAGTATATCTTTGTGTGTGGGCACATAATCCGGTTTCGCCAGCCGCTCAATTTCGTCTAGAAAATAGCTGACCGAATCGCTCTGCAACAGAGATATTCATTGTTTATAATATATATGTAAATTGTTTGTAAAAAGGTTTATAGATACAAATATAGAAATGATGCGCGACAGAAATCCCAAGTCTATAAGATCTATTGAATATTTCAATTTCACGGTATAATAATTATTGTAGACATGTATTCCCTTTGCTTATCGAATAAGACTGCATCTAATAATGTTTATACTCTTAGAAGCACTACAGTCAGGCCTATTGAATCTATATTATATAATTATATTAAACTAAATATCTAAATATATTAAACTAAATATCTAACTTAAAAGTTAAAAGAAATGGATAAGCCATAAATTAAGGGTATATCAAGTATTTTCTAGTTATTCTAATTGTTGATACAATTTGATTGGACAATCGACAATAAATTATTTTTAATTTTGAGGAAACGGGGCTAAATAAATAAATTCCAATAATTATAAACAAAACAACTACATAATATATACGTAGTTGCTTGCGTTGTTTATAATTATTTATATTTATTTATTAAATAGATTTAATTGTTTTAGATGAAATTAAGACAGATTTTAACGCTAATATATGTACATGGAAAATATTTTATGAATTTTGAATCTCAGTAGCTTGCAAAGTCTTTACAAAATATAATCCATTTGCTAACGTTACTTGTTCTAGCTTAGCATATAAGATATTTAAAGTTCTCGATTAGCTTTTGGTACAAATGAGACAACTGATACACAAGGCATATGCCAGTATGGATCCACAAATTAGGGATTTAGATGATAGCTTACAATTTGGAATTCGCGTCGTCGTTCGTAGGCGCGCCTTATGCCACGATCCTGCCAAAGGCGCCGTATGAGCGGCGCATATTCCACGAATCTGGCTGCCTCTATTGCATTGCACTCCATTGCTTTGGCGTCATTGGCATCCTGTTCCCGTCCATCGCTGCCCCAGGGAATATCCAACTTTTCCCGCGCGTCGAGGAGCACTTGCATACCTGCAAGCCGAAATCGATTAATTGATATATAAATATTTACTATGCATATAGAAGCAACTACCTCTTATAACATTTTGGTATATCACATGTTGGTATTCGCGCAGCAGCTCCGGATCGAAGTTGACGCCGTGTATGATGCGCATCTGTTTGAGGAAGGTTGATTTGCCTGACTCGCCAGCGCCCAGGAGCAGCAACTTAACCTGCAAAGTTGAGTGAATTTATTAGAGGGCACACTATACTGCAAAAGATAAGTGCGAAATTGAAACCTTGACCGATATAGAAACACACACACAAACAGACACACGCACGCACGCGCAAGAAAATGAACTGCAGCCAGCGGACAAAACACAAAGAAGTTGTTAATTGAATGCCTTTTGTGTGAATAAGACTTTTTGTAATGATTGCCTAAATGATGCAACAATAAAAAAACCCAGTGCCAAGCCCAATACCAACATCAGCAACAACAACAACATCGAACGAAAAGTGAAAATTCGTCTGCCGTTTCATTTGTTTGCCTGGGCGGCCCATGCGGGCTATACAACCGGATGAATGTTGTGTCTTGTGCTTGTGCGTGTGTGTGCGTGAGAGAGTGTTTGTGCATGTGTGCGTGTGGGTACAAGCAAATTAATACTAATTACTTAATTAAACGGAATGTGGAAACGTTATGTGCTTCTCTTAAATTCAATCTTACCTGCCGTCGAAACGTATGCTTCTCCTTCTCCAGAAACTTATCAATCTCTTTGGATTTGTAGCGTTGCTCCAGCTCCTCGGGCGTGCTGCGCAGCCGCACCAGATGTGTCAGGAGATTACCAAAGCATCTCATGCAGGCGAATCGTGATGTTTGTAATCGACTCCCTTGCCGTCGCAGTCTTTCCGCTCCGTCTGATATCAGTCCGGTGGAGCTGGCTGTTGTCCCTCGGCCACTAACTGTCTGCTGATGATGATGGTGATGGTGATGATGATGCTCCTCCATCAGGTGTGTCAGCGTCCCAGTGCGTGTATCGTTGTTGCTGTTGTTGTTGCTGCCGCTGCTGCTGCCGCCTGTGATGCCGCCACTATGTGTTAACGTGGTCAACGTAATTCTGGACATGGTTGCGACTGCGACGACAGCCAACGCCTGACGTGCGCACTTTCTACACAGGCACACACACACACAAACTCAAACACACACAGTCACGCACACACGCGCGCGCTGTACGTTCAGTTGTTGATATTATTGTTGGTGTTGTTATTGTTGCTGTTGATTGTCTCCCGTTTTGTATGTTGATAATGTTATTGTTCTTGTTGCACACTCGCCAAAATTAGCCTGGTATCGGGGGTTTATTGTTTTGGTCGTTGTTTGGACGTCGTAGTTGTAGCCAAATCATATCTTGACCACAAAAGCATCGCCGCGCTCTTCCTCTGCGAATTTCGCTCCGCGGGCATTGCACACACACACTTTCACAGTTTGCAGCCACTACAACATATGCTAATCGCTTTGATGACAAATTAATTAACTCCTTTATTACGCGACGCCTCCCTTTTCTCGTATTGGCAAATTTTGTAAATAAATTCGCATTTTCACTCCCAAAAGACTGAATAGGGTTGTATTCGCGATGTCAATCACTCGATATTCTGTTGATACTCTATCGAGAACCATAAGCGATAGTTCAAATGCGATATTCGTAGCTACAAGCAACCCTGTTATTGAAAACAGCTGTTTTTATAGTTCACACAATAATAACAAACACCCATACAGCTCTAGTGGCTGCTGCTCATTGGTCTATTTTGCTCAGTCGCTGTGAAGTTGCGGTTTATTCGGTATCAATAATTGCGGAAAATATTGTTTATTAAAAATGATTATTAACACAGGCAAAGTATCTTTGCTTAATGCTGCGCGTCTATCAGGCGGCATGCAGTATATGAAAAAATATACAGGTAATTATTGAAAAATTCAGTGCGTTAGAGGTCATTCAGTTTAAATTGATTAAAATCCATTTGAGAACATTTTGCAGTGGTTGATGGGTCTGCAGATAAATAGCCTATGTAGATTTAATTCAATTAGCGCGCAATAAGCGATTCTTTCACTGTCACTCATAAAAATATATGTACATGCATACATACATACATATGTATATATGTATGAAAGTGAAAGCAAATTCCAGTTGGATTTTGCACCCTGGGCTTCTGCCCAACTGCGCAATAATTTTCTCATATATTGTTATTTTAATATAGCATTAATAAGACTCAATATTTTTGCCTGCAGCATTTCAACCTTTTCACACCAGTGCCAAGGTGCTTAACAATGCTGAGCCAGCCCCCGCTCTACCGTTGCCCCATAATGTGGACGCTGCCGAAACGACGCGGTTTTCCCCGCAACGCTCCAGGGATATGTCCGACAATATTATGACCATGTCACACGCTCCCATCTCGACAATCGATATTACCACTGACAACAGTATGACCATATCGCAGGTCAGCACTTCTCTGCAAGATCCGCATGTGCAGTCATACGACTGCTTTGGCGCTGTCAGCCTCAATGCAGTGATGCAGAGCAATGTGCCGACCCCGTTCGGTGGCATGCACAAGTTCTCGCATCTCAATATGCCGGGAGGGCAGTGGTCGCAGGAATACAAGTTCACCTCGCAGAACATGCACAGCTCGCATTATCGCTCGCTGCGCGAGAGCACGCGCGCTGATTGGGTGACCTACGATCAGAATGCCACGATGCCGGTGGCGGGCCACAGCCAAGGTGAGGATAGATAGCAGCTGTTGACGTAAAGGTGACACGTGTTGCGCGTGCTCCACCAAACCTGTTGCATGTCGCGCGCATGCGCTCTAGCTCTAGCTAACAAGCATACGCATCCCATATCATAAGCATTGCTCGAATTTCGTAGGCTTCCGGCGTTGCTACAGCACACAAGCAAAGCCAGCACAGCCAGCACAGCCACCAACAGCAGCAGCAGCAACAGGAAGCGCAGCGCCCTCAACGCCCACGGCACCCACAACGCCTGCGCCTGAGCAGCTGAGCAAGAAGGAGCAATTGAAGAAAGTGTTCAAGGAGTACGGCGCAACCATTGTGGTATTCCACGTGGGCATTTCGCTGCTCTCCTTAGGTGGCTTCTACGTGCTCGTCTCCAGGTAGGATCAACTAACTGAATGCATTCATCCATTCGTAACCGCATCCATGGCTGAAAAACTAAACGCTTGCTCTGCACCCACATTAACCATTCCAATGTAATCCCTAAACTGCTCTCTTCTTGTTTGCAGCGGAATAAATATGATGCCCGTGATGGAATTCCTTGGAATCGAGTCATCTGCATTTGCAGAAAAGTTAGCCGTGGGTAGCACTTTCGTCACGGCCTATGCCGTTCACAAAGTCTTCGCTCCACTTCGGATTAGCATCACGCTGGGCTCGGCGCCATTCATTGTGCGTTTGCTGCGCTCCAAGGGGTTCTTGAAATCTAAAATTAAGAGCAATTAGTGCCATATACGAAAGCATGTCGCTTTATTTTATATACAACTTTTGTCGACGACAACAAGAAACGTTCAATTCTTTATAGTTTAGCTCTGCATGTCAATACATTGTGTAATTATGATGATATAATCAAATAAATATTGCACTCGAAACGTATTTCATGGAATTTGACATTTGAATCCCAATAGATTAAATTGCTTATCCCCAATCTAAGCTTTCATTGATCCGAAAGAATTATAGGTATATTATAATCATCACCCCAGACCCTAATCAATTAAACTCCATTTTAATTTCATTTTGATACTTTAGTTGGTTTTACTGCTTTTTTTTAATATTTTTTTTTTTTTAGCATATTTATAGAAAAAATATTTTCACATCTTAAGTTTTCACTGCTCTAGACATTTTTCATTTTGTTATTGGCTTAAGCTATAAATTGATTTTAAGTAAACAATAATTGTAATAATTATACAATTTAATAATTAAGACTTAACAGTTAGACAAAAAAGCTAATGGAAGAAACAAATTAACAATTTCCAAAATTTCCAATGCCATTTGACGTCCTCCCACAACTTAATGAATCCACTCCTCCATTCTGATATACATTGATTTCCCCCCCAATTCTGATGCAACTTCATTCAGTTATCTATCGTTCTCTCTTTGTACGCATTTGAAGCCTAAGAACTAATCGTAATTGTACGTGGTGTAAGAGCCGGACGGCTTAGTAGCCATCGAGGGCCTCCTCGTCTAGTTGGGCCTCCAGCTTCTCCTCCTCTTTGGCTTTGCGTCGCTGTATCCATGGCATGAAGGCCCATAGGGCCGAGCCGGCAAGTAGTGTCAGTCCCAGCGTATGGAAGAGCGGATTGTAAGTTTCGACCGCCTCGGTCCACCAATTGCACAGCGGCGGTCCCACCAGCTGCAGAATGCCATTGACGAACAGGCTGATGCCATAGGACGAGGTCAGCCGCTCCGTGCCCAGCATATCGGCCATGATGACAGCCGTAATACCCACATAAATGCCCGATGCAAGCCCAAAGACGGCGCACCAGAAGCAGACGGCACCGTAGCTGTAGGCCAGCGGCAACAATGCCAGCGAAATGCCCGAAATGGACAGTCCGCCAACAAAGTACCACGTCTTGGGTATGAAGCCCATGTCGGAGAGCGCCGAGCCGCCTATGCGGCCAATTAGATCTGTTGCCGAGACCACCGAGAGCAAGTAGGCGGACAGAGATTTGTCGAACTTTCTGGCCAGGCCAAAGGCCGGCAACAGAATGATGAAATTCGTGTAGCTGATGGCATTCGTTGAGTTCGAGATGAGTATGACCAAGTACATGGGATCCTTCAGCAGGCTCAGATCGAAAAATTTGCTGCGTTGGCTCTGTGGCGCCTTGCCCTGACCCGTCTCATCCGCACCGCCGGCATCCTGTGGCGCCGCCTCAGCCGCCGCACTGCCCGCCGAGCGCAACGATAAATGCGAGGAGAACTCCTTGGGTTGAAACGACAACGTGCTGCCGTGATATGGCGTGCTAATGTACAAGAAACTGCTGGTCGAAGGCGAGCGCTTGGACAGCCGATTCCTCGAGCTGTTGCGCATGGCCAGCTTGTTGGAGCTGGAGCGTCCCTCGGGCACTGCATACAGCGATGACTGTGAGTTCAACTGGCCGGGCGTGAATGTCTGGTTGCGTTGTGGCAGTCGCACTGGTGTGCTGATCTTTCGGGCACGTGGCTGGAATTCATCGCCGGGCTTGGCGTAGCTCTGAACCACAGCGGCCGACGCGCTACGCACGAACTGCTGTTTGTCATCATCCAGCAAGTAGAGCGGCGACGGTGGCGAGTTGTAGGGCATCAGATGCTTCTCGGCCTGCTCAGCCTGATTGGGCGCGGTTTCGTCCACATTCTCGAACTTCATGACAATGCCAACGTCCTCCTCCTCAGGTATGTCCTCCAGCGCCTGGCGAGCGCGCGGCACGCGAATCATATGTTGCTCCACTGGCTCGTAGAACAGGGCGCCCACCAATACGTTTAGCGTGATGCCACCCATAATCAAGCAGGAGCCACGATACCCATAGGTCTCCAGTAGCCAGCGCAGAACGGGCGGCAATATGATCGAGCCAATGGCGCTGCCAGAGATGCAGAGGCCGTTGGCCAGTCCGCGCAGCTTCACGAAGTACGACGTCACAATATACACAGTGGGCGGAAAGGAAAGACCAGCACCAATGCCCACCAAGACGCCATAGCTGAAAGAGCAAAGCAATCGAGGCAGAAAATTAATTAAGTAGTCGACTAAAGTCTGGTGATCTGAGTAATACCCTTCAACAGGTGGTAATTCCCCTAATTTATCAGTTGATCTTTAACAAATATTTGCTTGTACGGAACCCCCTGTGTCAAAACGTGTTTTGTTTAAACCGGCTCAATAATTGTTTAGATTTAGATATATGTATATATTTATTTTCTATAAATATGAATGTTTCTCGACTCATTTTGAAGCCGACTCAACTTACCTGATGTACAAGTAGCCAACGGACGATGCCCAGAAGGATAGCATCATGCCCAGCGATGCGGAAACGGCGCCGATCAGAGTTACCGTGCGATAGGAATACTTAACGGAGAGAATACTCGAGACAGGTCCTGTAAAGGGATGCAAAATAAAGTTGAATTGAATTTCGATACACAATTGTCTCACTTAATACTTACCCAATGAACTGTAAAGGAAATAGCATAAGGCCGGTATCCAGGAGGCCTGAGTTTGCGTTGTTTCGAAGGCCTGCAAAAACTCGATGAATAGGACACCAAAGCTCTTGATGGTGCCCGGGATGAGTATGTTCGTCAGGCATGCGCCAAAGAGGACTAGCCAACCCCAGCCGCCATCGGGTGGCACCAGGTCATATTCGCTGCTCTCATCCTTCTTGTTCAGCAGGCTTACTGCAGTGTGCAAGTAGTATATGAAACGAAATCGAATTACAATAGCTGGGTTAGATCTTTGCGCAAATGTTCAGTTCAGAGCTTGTGAGGAGAGATATAAGTAGACGAGGATTCAAGTCAAACTCTCTGTGACCGCTGAGTCCCTGAGCTTAAATACGAATACGAACTTGGGTAACAAAAACAATTGCGGACTGCACCACATATGCATATAGATAGCAGCCAAATA